GATATTTCGATATTTTCAAGTCGAAACATAGGAAACGTACGAATTAAGCAATCAGAATACCAGCGTACTAGACAGAGCGAGAAGGTGCTAGATCTAGTACGAAGTTACTAAGTCTGGCAACACTGGATCTGAGGAGTAAGGTGTCAAGAGCGATGTGAAGCTCACAGTCAACGTCAGCGCCCGAAATTTCCGAAGATAGCCGAACATCCAGGGCTGGCTCAGCTGCCTTCATTTTGATACAAATAAAAGTATGAGTGTCATAGTGTCAATAGATTATTAGAGATAAGTGTCGATAGATCATTAATGATCATCAATTTCTAATTAGAGATCCATCCATACAACATCTTATCCGATCTATTATTTTTCAGAAGTTCTTGCAATCCCGTCAGAAATAAACAGGGTCGTGCTTATAAAAATGTATTTTTTAATGAAACAAATAAATTATCACAAGACTATCAATATAAAATGAGTTCGTGAATAAAAGATTACAAGAGATCCATATAGGTGACACAATTATACAAGAGATCCATATAGGTGACACAGGGTATCGGGCCACCCCTGTAACTTCTGCATTCGTCAACGGATTTCTCTGAAATTCGGTACAGTTATATAAGCAACCATTTCGGATTTGATCACATTACAATCCAATATAGCAAACTTCCGGTTTTTCTGGAAATGCCAGCAACTTTGCTATTTCCAATAGAACACCCTGTATATTTTCACATATTCAAGTTCAACAGGTCGAAACAAGTGCAATCTTTATTTCAAATGTCATTTTTTCGAAAAAAATTAAATAAAAATTGGTTTTTCATTTTACCTCGTGGATAAATGAGATGTGGTCAAGACTATTCACAATGAGTCACACATAACAGAAGAACATAATTTTTTCTGAAAAATTATTTTTTGTGTCACTTATCCAGGAATCAATTCAGCCACATCACTTTTTGATAAAAAATTATTTTTTTTCAAATGGAACCCCTATGGGCCACCTACCCGTTTCTCTAGAACATACATTAAGGAACAAAATGAAATATCATTTTAGTTTTTCCGTGCAGTAACAAATTATATACATTCAAAAATCAACAACTAGTTTATGAATTTCCTTGCAGTTAGAATAATTTTTCAATTTTCAACTAGGTAGGCTGTGGAATAAATGACATTTGACATCATGATTGCACTTGTTTTGACCTGTTGAACTTGAATATGTAAAAATATACAGGGTGTTTCATTTGAAAAAACAAAATTGCTGGCATTTCCAGAAAAACCGGAAGTCCGCTATATTGGATTGTAATGTGATCAAATCCGAAATAGTTGCTTATATAACTGTACCGAATTTCAGAAAAATCCGTTGACGAATGCAGAAGTTACAGGGGTGGCCCGATAGCCTGTGTCACCCGGTATAACAGTTCCCACCACAGATTAACAAACCTTTATTTGTTAATCTGTGGTCCCCACAGCTCGCGCACAAGTTCGTGCAAACCCGTCAGGATTATACAGGGTGATTTGACATGGCGGGTTATTCCATAAAACAAAATCATTTTTTGGAACTGCAAATGATATATATATATGACTATCATAAAAAAGTTGGTGTCAATAAATTGATATTTTTTATGATATATAAGTATACATATTTTTGTGCACCCCCTCTATATTTCTGAAGGATTTGCAATAAGAACTTCTGAACAGAAAAAATTGTAATATATGGATCTCATATAATCTATATTGACACCATTCTATTTCGATAGTGTCGTGAGTTCTCAAGTTCATGAAAAAATATATCCATTTTATTCAAACGGCACCCTGTATATTCCTGACGGGTTTTCAAGAGCAATAATGGAGCTGTGAAAAACGTTATATGGATCTATCATAATCAATATTGACTCTCATATTACCTTTGGATATAGTCCATTAGTAGGTACGTTCAAGAAAAATCAATTTTTTTATGAAAAAAATCCATTTTTAAGCACCCTGTATATTTCATCTGAACAATGAGGGATGATATATATATGGATCTCTGATAATCTATTATTGACACCTATAAATTATCTTGATAGTCTATAGCGAGTGCGTTTAAAATTTATTATGATTTTTTTTTTCATGAAAATAATGAAGTCCATTATTCTTGACCACCCTGTATATTTCTGACGGGTTTGCAAGAGCATTCAAAGGCTATGAAAAATTTTATATGAATCTCTTATATTCTCATTTCGTTTTGATAGTCTCGTATATGCTGCCGAGAAGTATCATTATTTTTCATGGAAAAATCAATTTTTGTAAGCACCCTGTATATTCCTGACGTGTTTGCAAAAAATTCTAAGCAATGAAAGATGTTATATGATATGGATCTCCCATCATCTATTGATCGATTGCGACACCTATTTCATTTTGATAGTCTTGTGCGTTTTTCAAAAATATATATTTATTTTTGAATAAATTTTCAAGCTCCCTGTATACTCCTAACGGGTTTGCAAGAACTCCAGAGCATTAGAAGATGTTATAATAAACCGAAATTCATTTTATCATGATATATTCTCGAGATCGAGATCGAAGAAAAAAAGCAGCCAATTACTATTTTTGCAAAAAAATACAATTCTCTGGTACTTCACTGGATGTTCTGCTACCTTCAGAAATTCAGACCGCTAGCTGGTTTCGGAACATATGATATGAAGTGAGCTGCTGAACGTGACAGCTAACTTTCCGAACATTTCCGAACTCGAATTACCAGTGGCGTATTGTTCCTATAGTGATTTCATACTCATTGAAAAATGAAATGAAATTTGAACAAACGGCAATATTCAGAATATCAACCAAAAGAAGGCTTCCGCACAAAGACATCATTACGAGCAAATCCTCTAACGATTTCGGATACAAGCCATCTTCAGGAGTAATTTCTGAAAGTGCGAGTGAAGATTAGAAATCTGAATCGTAGTTATTATATATAGTGAAGAAGTAAATTTGATGAATTTTAATGAAGTTCTACTCCTTTGCCGAAGTTTTTTATTTAGAAATCAAAGTACAAAAAGTATACATTTAATGTACTCAACATTGGAAAATTCAAGTTTTCAAGAATAATTATTCAAGTTTTCATGAAAACGATCAATGTACCGTAAAAGGCGTAAAACGTGGTTACTTTGCGACAAATATCGGGTTTTTCGCGAATAATTATTGAAATATGAATGATATGTGTTCGTCTAAGAAGCATGGTCAATTCTCTAACTCTTTCTTCATGCGAATAATAGATTAAATCTGAAGTAGGTATGGAGAGAGTATTTTGTTTTTGAATTTCGAAATTGGCAAAGTATCCACATAACATGTGGTTACTTTGCCATGTGATGTATAGAGTATATGTTAGAATTCATTTTATTGGTAAAGTTGATTTTTCAGATGAGATACTTTGCCATCCATTCATGAGTATATCACAAGGGCTTCAAAACCAGAAAGAAATGAACACAAAATTTTGATGTAAATACGTTTTACTGAGTCTTACATATGATTGTGATGGATCCCATACCTAGTCTCCATGTACAACAAAACTCATAAAGAATTCAATAATTTATGAAAACGAGTTCTCGAATTGAGAAAAAAATTTAATATCATAAAAAAAATCAGTGGAAATAAGAGGAGTGCAGAGATACCCATATCCAGCACACAGGCGGAGATGACGTCCACAAGCTCCTTCTCATCTATCCACTCAGCTCAGTGGATGCACTATATTTACCAGTATGACGTTGATGAAACTTTCAATCTACCAATCTATCTATCTGAAATCTAAGGTTCTGCGTTGTATTCGCGGGAATCAATGTTACCAGGTGGCGCTCAGTTTTCATCGTTCCATGTCAAAGCCACGTCAAAACTGGGGGAAAACAAACTCAATCCTCACTCAATCCCATTAGTGCCATCAGCTTGTTTACTGTCGTGTACTGATAAGAGTGATACGCTAATAATGCCTGTTGTAGATGTTCTTTTGGCAGATATTTTGCTCTATTTAGATGAAAAAAGCCGACCAGCCGACCAGTAGTGGAAGGAGAAGCAGTTCTCCGTGCTAATCATGTGATTTTATGTGAGGCAGAACACTTCAACAAAAGGCATATTTTTGCACTTTGTCTACAAACTTAGGCGATGAAATTTTCCCCACATGAAGTAAAATTGAAGTTGGGGTCCAGAAGAACCCCTGTAGAACAATGGATTTGTGTTTGTTCATGCAAAGCAGGACAATCTGGGTATTGTTGACATGTTGTAGCTGTTCTTTTATATTATGTCAATTGATTTGCTCGTCATAACCAGTTTGAATTGTTTGAACTATCTCCAATTCTTCACCCGTTCACTGTTCACTAAACTAATAAAAATTTGATAATGTAAAAAAATTGACCAACTCAACCATCATCACTACCAACAGTGCCAACACTTTATGTCATTGACAAGTTTGATTACAGCTACAGCAAGAGCTGAATGCAATGTAGTCTATGCAGTTTACCCATAGACAACAGTCTGTTCACCCCCAGTTTGCAGTTCGTATTATGTAACCTATAGATATCGCCCACTTCGTGAATCTTGGGAATCCTTAGAATATTGAATACTTTTGACGCTCTGTCACATGAAATCCTTTTTTATGGCATTAACAGTATGTTCTAATGATTCAGCAGTTTGTTCACATATAGTAACGACTCCATAATAATTCTTGTACTCCCTAGACATGTTACGGTTACGGACCTGCAAATCATGACATAAATGTATGGCAAAAACCCCGAAATTGGAAACAAAATATCGTGGAACTTTGTCAACCCCCAAAAATTCGTCGAGTTATCGTTATATATATAATGTTTTGAAAACCTGTAAGAATATGACAAATAGGCATAGGCATATTGAGAGGTCTCTCTTTGCGCCTCGCTATGGCCGGTCACGCTGTTAAATCGCTCTGTGCAAAATGCGGTAAAAACGCAGTAAAAAGCATCATAAAATGTGATCAGTGTTTTAAAGTATATCACACTAGTTGTGCAAAGATGTCTCAAAGTGATATTAGTGACAATCAAGTATTAACTTGTTGTGAAACAGAAGAAAGCACTGTGGATGACTCCGCTCCTTTCTTTGACGCACTAGAAAATAATTCTAGCGAAAAAAAGGTTGATATAGCAATTTTCCACTATGTTTTGAAACAAAAGGACCAAATTATGAACGAATTACAAAATAATATAAAAATCTTGACAAATCAAATTGATTTATTAAATAAATTAAACTGCGATCAGACTGCCACCAACACCAACAAAAAAGTAGTACCGGTAAGGTCAGCACCAAAAAAAACATCTACAACAATAGACAACAAAAACGAGCCAGCTGAGAACAGCGAACTTGAACCAAAGGTCAACAGCCTCGCAGATATAAATATAAATAAAAACACGGATATAACCATGGACAAGGTATCTGAAGGGATATCACTAGCACAGAATGCAGCAATAATGCAGGAAATTATCAACTTGCCGTTTGACAAAGGAATGAAAACCGAAACAAAAACAGAATGGAAAACGGTGCCCAAACGTAACTCCAGGAGACAACGCCAAATAGTGGGTCAAAACAACGACCTATCCATAAAAGGTGTACCAAGAAAGACTGTTTTGCACGTGTGCAGAATTAACAAGGATTCTTCCGCGGACGACTTGAAAAGTACATTACAAAAACACTTCCCAGAAGTTCATTGCCACCAAATAACAGCTAAATATCCCGATCTCTATTCGTCATTCAAGGTCAGAATCCTGGAAGAAAATTTCAATAAGGCAATGGATCCTAATATTTGGCCGATTGGAGCATATGTTAGTCGTTTCCGTTTTTTCCAGAGAAATCCAACGCAGAGGGAAAACGAATAGCAGTAGATTCCACTGAAAAAGGGCCTATAAATAGTACTAGAAAGGTGGGTATTTTGCATTTGAACATAGTCTTTAGCAAATAAAATTTTAGCATTAGAGCACTTTCTCGAAGATACAGATTTTTCAATTCTGTGCCTTAGTGAACACTGGCTGAACGAAGAAAATTTGAAATTAGTCTCATTAAAAAATCTTACACTAGCTTCCTCATTTTGTAGGAAATATAAAACACACGGTGGTGTTGCCATCTTTCTAAAGCCTGATATTATCTTCAAACCTATCAATCTTGACGGCTACTGCACTGAATTACATGCGGAATTCTGTGGTATAGAACTAACTAGAGCCAAATGTGCCATTGTGACATTATACAGATCGCCAGTTAATGGTGACATTGATATATTTCTCTCTAAGTTTGAAGAATTGTTATGTTTTCTTTCTACTCGATATAGCCATATGATCATAATGCGTGATTTTAATGTGAACTTCAAAAATCCTACACCCTTTCTATCAGATCTTATGTGTATTATAACTTCATTTGGACTAGAAGTCACCATTGATGACTACACCAGAATAAATATCAGGACAGGGACGGGGACCTGCATCGACAATATTCTGACAAACCTCAACATGGACCTGATTGAAACGGGCATCTTTGAACCTTGTCTATCGGATCACCGAAGCCAATATTTAATAATGAACATGTGTGATAATCAAAAACCAAAGGAAACGTTCCGGAGAAAAATAACTTCAACTTCTCTACAACATTTTCAACACGATATATCTTCACAAAATTGGAGCATTTTTGAAAACTCTGATGATATCCAGCAATTGGCTGAAATCCTTATTAATACAATTAAATACTGTATGGAACTACACTTTCCCTTGAAGAAAATTTCGGTACCACCCAAATCTTTGCCAGTCAATTTTTTTAATAATCATCTGAGAAATATGCGAGAAAACCTTTCAACACTAAAATTAATAAGCGATGTGTCAAAAAATCCGTTACACACAGGCTTATACAAATGTTATAAACGCGAATACACATCTGCATTGAATGATGCAAAAAGGGAGGCCTACGAAAATTTCATAAAAAAATCAGAAAACAAAAACAGAGATGCCTGGAGATTGATTAATTTTGAACGCAACAAAAAAAATCTTTCAAATCCCTCAGTTTGTAATATCTCTGCGAATGAATTCGTTGAATATTTTGCAGCAGCAGCAAAAATATTGACGGAAAACCTCAATAACAATGAAGACAATGTTATCGCCACACTAAAAAAAATACCGAATAAGGAGACTTCATTCTTTTTCTTCCCTGTCACTGACTTAGAGGTGCTGGATGCCATAAGTTCCCTCAAAAATTCTAATTGTTTTGATGTACATGACTTAAATAGCAAAATAATCAAATCCATCCCAGACAGCACTGGATATTCATAGAATATTCTCTGAATATGCTTAAAAGGAGGAGTATATTCCGAATATTCATCGATTATTCCTAGAATATATACATGCCTCTGGAACATCTAAAAGGAATAATCCAAAGTGAATAGTCGGACATGTTCAGGGAATATTCAGGTATGAATCTTCCAGGAATATTCCCAACTGAATATTCTCTGTTGTATATTCATGAAATATACTCAACTGAATATTCTGTGCGGTATATTCATGAAATATACCCAACTGAATATTCTGTGCGGTATATTCATGCAATATTCTCAACTGAATATTCTGTGGTGTATATTCATGAAATATTCCATGAATATTCCTATGTTTCTCAACACATAAATACCATTTATTATTTCAGAGATGTGAGTATCGAACATCAATTTGATGTAAGGGGATTCTGAAACAAAAAGTGTTTATGATCCGATTTCGAACAATGCTCTCACAAGAACTTAATATGTATAACATTATTCAATTCGATTACTGGCCTAGTGGCCAAGGCGTTGCTCTGATAGTCTTGAGGTCACGAGTTCGATCCCTACTTGGGTCATTTTTTTTTATTTTAGAATATGTTTATTGGAATATTCCAGGAACATTCAACATAGAATATTCTTTTGGGTATATTCTATGATTATCTGAGGAATTCCCATTCGCATATTTAGAGAATATATCACAGATATTCCGGAATATTCCAGATCATTTCTAGAATATTCCAATATTCCAAAAGGAATATGATAGGGAGATTCATGGAATATCTGGTGCTGTCTGGGATAAAAGAAATTATCGCTAAACCTCTGTCAATACTATTCAACCTGTGCTTTATGCAAGGAAAATACCCTAATGTCTTCAAAAAAAGTAAGTTAATCCCAATACATAAGAAAGGGAATATAGACTGCCCAGAAAATCATAGACCCATCCCTATTATTCCAATCATAGGAAAAATTTTTGAAATTCTCATCAAGAACAGACTTATGAATTATTTTGAAACGAATATTTTATTGCATCAGCATCAATACGGCTTTCGGAAAAATCACTCTACTATAACCCAGACAGCACCAGATATTCCATGAATCTCCCTATCATATTCCTTTTGGAATATTGGAATATTCTAGAAATAATCTGGAATATTCCGGAATATCTGTGGAATATTCTCTAAATATGCGAATGGGAATTCCTCAGATAATCATAGAATATACCCAAAAGAATATTCTATGTTGAATGTTCCTGGAATATTCCAATAAACATATTCTAAAATAAAAGAAAAGTGATCCAAGTAGGGATCGAACTCGTGACCTCAAGACTATCAGAGCAACGCCTTGACCACTAGGCCAGTAATCGAATTGAATAATGTTATACATATCAAGTTCTTGTGAGAGCATTGTTCGAAATCGGATCATAAACACTTTTTGTTTCAAAATCCCCTTACATCTAATTGATGTTCGATACTCACAAATAATAAATGGTATTTATGTGTTGAGAAACATAGGAATATTCATGGAATATTTCATGAATATACACCACAGAATATTCAGTTGGGAATATTTCATGAATATACCGCACAGAATATTCAGTTGGGTATATTTCATGGATATACCGCACAGAATATTCAGTTGGGTATATTTCATGAATATACAACAGAGAATATTCAGTTGGGAATATTCCTGGAAGATTCATACCTGAATATTCCCTGAACATGTCCGACTATTCACTTTGGAATATTCCATTTAGATGTTCCAGAGGCATGTATATATTCTAGGAATAATCGATGAATATTCGGAATATACTCCTCCTTTTTAGCATATTTAGAGAATATTCTATGAATATCTGGTGCTGTCTGGGAAAAGCTGTCAGGAGACTGGTGGATGGCATAGTCGACGGCTTTGAAAACGGTGAACACACATCTGTTACCCTATGTGACCTAAGCAAGGCCTTCGACTGTGTCAACCACTCAGTACTTCTACAAAAGCTTGAATGTTATGGAATCAGGGGTACTACCTACAACTTTTTTGAGTCTTACATAAAGGACAGACAACAATATGTATTTTTTAATGGAACAGTTTCCGAAACTAAACTAGCAACGATAGGAGTGCCTCAAGGCTCCGTTCTTGGACCCCTCCTATTCATAATATATGTCAATGACATATTCTATCACCTTCAGCCATCCGATTGCATTCTTTTTGCGGACGACATTACTTTCTTCCACTCAAGCAACAGTATTGCCACATTACAACAGAATGATCTCACCACACAAAACAAAGTTGACGAGTGGCTTAAACCGAATGGACTCGTCAACAATCCAGGGAAAACTCAAAAAATTTTCTTTTCTATGAATAAAGATGTCTCTCACGGCAATGTTAAACTCCTTGGGATGACCCTCGACAGTAAACTCAAATGGTACGACCATATTGATTATCTAAGTAAAAAACTATCCACTCAAATTTTTTTATTAAGAAATTTGAAGAAATCATTCAGCTCAACGGCCATCAGAATGTCGTATTCCTCACTTTTCCATTCACATCTGGTCTATGGAATAACTTTGTGGGGCAAATCCTCACAGGCTGAACGGGTATTTATTCTCCAAAAAAAGGCCGGCAGAAAAACTGATGGTGCAGGACCCAGGGAGCCATGTAGACAGATATTTTCGAAATTGAATATTATGACTTTACCAGCTTTATATATATTTCATTGTCTTTTAGAGATTCACGAGAACATTCATTTATTCATTAAGCATAATAACATACACAACTACCATACAAGAAATAGAAACTCACTCATCAACCCAAGATTACGACTGGAAACTTCATCCAAAAACTCCTTAAATGTCGATCTGTACAATAAACTTCCCGATAATTATAAAAACCAGAATACCACCAAATTTAAAACCTCAATCAAACAGATGTTACTGAGGTTCAATTTTTATTCTATTAGAGAATACCAATGTGCCGAATTTACTGAATACCCACCTTCCCAGTGACACAGTATCTCTCCATTTTATCGACCGTGAAAAGCTTCCTACTTGAGTATGTTTATGTTTGTCTCAACTTGTTTTATATTTGTTATTATCATTTGTTTGTATTTTACAAGTATTCAAATGATTACCCTGTATACTACTGACGCGTGTAATTGAAAGTATTTCAAATCACTAAATATATATCTATCTATCTATCTATCTATCTATCTATCTATCTATCTACCACTATGAAAATATTGAAATGAAACATTCCAGAAAATACTTACGGAACCCAATTTCGCGCACGTACACAAAAACTCTCGCCAAATAGGCAGGTGGTTGTTGGCACCTAGAGCTCTAGCCTATTGAGCTCTTAGAACTTATTGATATCAGACCGAGGGGTAATTCGCTGCCTAAATTCTGTACACCATTGCCATACATTGCCACGCATTGCCACGCATTGCCACGCATTGCCACGTATTGCCACGCATTGCCACGCATTTCCACGCATTGCCACGCATTGCCACGCATTACCACGCATTGCCACACATTGCCA